AGATAGAGCATCAGCCTGCGGATTGAAGGGTCCCAGGTTTGATTCCGGTCAAGGGCATGTACCTTGGTTGTGGGCACATCCCCAGTAGGGGGTGTGCAGAAGGCAGCTGATTGATGTTTCTTTCTCATCAATGTTTCTAACTCTCTCTCCCATCTCTTCCTCTCTGTAAAAAAAATCAATATATTTTTTTAAAATCTTTTTTTAAATGTAAGTTATTTGGATGAATTTTCCCAGATCCTCTAGTTGAGTCTATTCTTCTCAGAAAGTGACTTAAAAGTCCAAGAAGGCTCCCACAGTCCTAACATGTCCCGTAATCAGAGATGACACTCAACACAATTAACAGCTAATCAACCAGAGTTGTTCTGCCTCAGTAGCAACAGGGTTCCGCCAGGCATTAACGCTTTATGTTGAATCCGAAGGTCAGAGGGAGCCAGGGAAAGGCCTAGGGTCTGGGGCATCTTGGGGAGGAGGGTTCGGGGCAGGGAACTTTGACCAGCCAACATGAAATGATTTCATTTTGTTTACAACCTGTTCTACTATATTATTGTAACTGCGCTGAAGGTTAGTCCTGCCCCCTATGGAATCTGTTGGAAATTTCTACCATTAACTAAAGGCCTCAGGAATGTAGTTTCGGACACAGAAATTGTGCTTTGTTTTTATTTCCTTAGGCCTTTTCTCTGTGTGTTTTAGTTTGGATAGGTTCTATTGTTATGTCTTCAATGTCACAGACATTTTTTTTTTCTACCATGTCCAATCTGCTGTTAAAACCGGCCAGTGAATTTTTCCTTTCAGGTGTTGTGTTCTTCAATTCCAGAAGTTCGATTTGGTTCTTTATATCTTTCATTCCCCACCTCTCCATATTCACATTTTTCTTTAAGTCCTTGTGTATATTGATAGTACCTTTTAAAATCCTCATCTGCTAAGTCCATTCTCTCTCATTTCTGGGTTTGTTTCTACTGACTGGTTTTTCTCCTAATTATGTTATCCTACTTATTTGCATGTCTATTAATTCTTGACATTCTGAATTTTATGTTGTTGAATGTCTCTATTATGTTGCTGTTCTTTAAAAATGATGCCTGGCATTTATGGTAATAGTGGACAAACTTGTTCTTTAGGAGGCTTGTTTATAAACTTTGTTGGCGGGACATCTAAAAGTTACTTTTACTCTATGGCTAAAATAGCCCTTCTACATATGCACACCCTCCTGTCACTTCTACTGAATCCTCTGGACATTCTACAAAGTCCCTTCCTATTGGCTGGTTGGAACTCAAACACCTCCTAACTCTGTGTGAACCCTGGGAACCAACTAGCTCATGGTCTCGGGCAGTTTTTTGCCTGGCATTGTGGAGTTTGCTAGGAATGTACAGTTTAGTATCAGCAGCAGACTCAAGAGGATCATGTTGCTATACTCCCTCCATTCTGGTACTCTATCTTGAAAAGTCTCCTCAGTTATCTTCTCAATTCAGCAAGCCACTGTCATCTATTCCAGTTCCCCCTCATATGCTGCAATTCAGAAAGTACTTTCAGTAGAAAGTTAGGGTGTAGCAGAGCTTGCCTCATTGGTTCTGTTCTTTTGGGAATCGCTGTCCCTTGCTATGTGCTGTCCAGTTGAGGAAAACAGTGGTCTTGTATATTTTGTGCAATTTCCAAGTTACTTACATTAGGAAGGTATTATAAGTTCAAATTGGTATGTTAAAACCTAAAGCCCAAAGTATTGGTATTAGCATGTGGGACCTTCTGAAAGTGATTAGGTCACGGGGCAGAGCCTTCATGAATGGGATTCGTGCCCTTATAAAGAGGCCTGACAGAGCTCCCTAGTGCTTTCTCCCATATGCAGATACAACAAGTCTACAACCCTCACCAAACCACATTGGTATCCTGACCCCAGACTTCCAGCTCCAGAAATATGCAAAATACATTTCTGCTGTGTATAAGCTACCCAGTCTATGGTATATTGTTATAGCAGCGAGAACAGATTAAGACAGAAGGTGAGTATGACAGAAATGGGAACCTCTGCATTAAGCACAATCGATATTATAGTTCCCAACGAAACACAAAGCAGATCCCCAGCACCACCAATCCTGCACTCTGTCCACCCTAGATGGCTCACTCTTCCCATGAAATTGTGAGCTGTTCCTTCTTGCCCTGGTCTGGGGCCATCTTTAGCACTCTTATCTTGCTCCTATTAGCCTCTTAAACCGCAGGCCAATGACACCCTTCTGCAAATCCTTCTTCAGTTAGATACTAAGAGCCTCCCCTGCACTTCCAGAAGTCTGTTCTTTATCCTCTACCACCGCACTGATCGCATTATTTAGTAATTATCTATTTGCTCATCAGTTCCTTTCTGCCTCTCCCTCCAGTGATTGCGGTTTTCCAGCTCTTTGTCCCCTGCCCAGGAATACAGCCTGGCATCAAGTAAATCCCAATAAATGCTTGTTAAATGAAGTACTGGATGAATCAACGAAGAGTAGGAACTACAGGAAAAAAGAGAAGGCTAAGTAGAGATTTTTTGATACTCACACAGATTATTGTGTGTTTTGATATATGCAGTTGACATCAAAGGAGAAAAGCAAGCACAGAGCCTATGGGATGTCTAGAAACAAAGTTGCTCTCTCTCTAGTCCCTGAAATTTGAGAATTATTTTTGTTGTTGTTTTGACCACTTAAAGCATTATCCTTTTTGCCCATAGGAAAAGCTTTCTGCTAAATCTATCTGGTCCTTCCAGCTAACCCATCTGTGGGCTGATCTGGGGGCATCCAGGATAATCCTTCCTCCCACTCCACATACACACTAGTGGAATCAGCCCAGAGCACTAAGTATTCCTGGCAGTCTATTTTGGCTTTTCTATGGGCCAAAGAGATGAAGTCATCATCACCAATGAAGTCACCTCTGCATGATTCATCTGACAACAGTTCCCCACGTGAAGTGCTCTGACTTTTTCAGAGCTTCTCCCAGATCATCCAGAACCTGGGGGCCCTGACATTTTTCAAGGCTCTGGAGCTGATCCTCCAGCTCCTTGGATCGACAGTAAATGCCAGAGTCCTGAACTGGGAAAGCCTCCCTGCTCCAGTCCAGGGAGAGACCTTGTCATCCTCATAAAGGCCTTTTCCATGTCTCCAACAACTGCTTCTCCTCTTGTTCCCAAACAGGTCACATTCTGATTCACCCTAGAGTTCTCAAGGGTGAGACCTGTTCTTATTCTTACGGATGCACTCACATTTATAAAAGAGGAAGCTGAGGCCTAGAGAAATGGGCCTCTCACTAGCATTAGGGACCAAATGCACTCTCCTGGCTGAGTAGACGCCAGTATCTCCTAACCTCTTCCTTCGGATAGACCTTCCTTTCAGAATATTGGACCCAGAAAATGCTGCCTGAAGTAATGGTCCTATAGGCAGAGGGAGCAAGTCCTCCTTTCTTCCCTTCTAAGTGGCAGAAGGTAACCATGACTACAAGGCTGTCTTTCTTGTCATTCATACAAAGTTTCTTCCAGATTCACTGCAGCGGGCAATGCACATGCCCACACACACTTAGATGCCTTTGGAGGGATCTGGTGAGATCTTGAGTGTGATTCCACAAGGAACTACCAGTAGTCCAGGAAGTCCTCCTGGGACAATAGAAGTCAGATTTTGGGCTTGAGTGTTGAGGTCTCAGAAGTGAGGCACAGGGATCTATAATAACAGTGAGCATTTCCCAAATGTCCTTGAGTGCTGGAAGCCTTGAGATAACCACTCCACCTCTCTAGGTCTGTTTGCTTACCTACAACCTAAGGCGTCTAAGGAAGATGGTCCAGTTGACTTCTGCATTGCCTCTCCACACAGCGTTTTCTAACCCTGTGAATCAATGAAAGGAAGTGGTTTCTCTCATGTCAGCAGGGGGTGCAGCGTCAGCGCAAGAGTATCTCCTCTCCTCCACCCGTCTCCCCCAGTGCCTGATGGTCAAAGCGGCACTTAACGGACAGTGAATGGGACCTGGGCACCCCGCTGTTTCCAGGCTTTGCCCAGGCAGGGGGATAGGGGCTGCTGCCTGGATCGCAGGCCACAGCTTAGAGCACCATAGTGTGTGGCTCCTCGGGGATCACAACCTAACACCTTCGAGGGGCACTGGGGACTGCCAGGGGGCCTCCGAGAACGTCTCCACCAGAGGGAACAAAGGTCCATTTGTGGGGTCCAAAGCCAGCCGTGTCTTCTCCCTTTTCTGGCTGGTTGTGGGTGCTTCCATGATTCAAGATGCTGTAACTCCCTTAGTCACCAGTTTCAAAGTAAAGGACTCAAGCTTCTGCTGCGAACGGCTTGGGTGGTTGTGGGAAGGGGGCCCAAGCAATAAGCCAGGAGTCCCTACTTTCTAGCCCAGGGTCGTTCCCTCCCCCTCCCCCATCATTCTACTCGCCTTCATGAAAAAAAAAAATTTTTTTTTAATCCTTTCTTCCGTCCCGGTTTCTAGTTCTGCGGTGTACGCAGAGGCCGATGGATCCTGCCTTCCGGCTGGAGTTTAAATATATATATATATATATATATATATATATATATATATATATATATGTATAATTTTGCATGGCTATTGCGTCATTGTTGGAGTCGTCGTAGTTCCCCCAGCGGCCTCCCCATCTCCCGGCACCGGGGCCTCTGGACGCTTCCGGGCGCTGCGGGCACTTTCGCGAGGAGCCCTCGCTCCTCCCGGGCTCTCCCCTCCCGGCCCCCTCCCCCGCCTCACCTCCCTCCCTCCCTCCTCCTCCTCCTCCTCTTCCTCCTCCAGCTCCTCCGCTTCCTCCCGGCTGCCCGGGCGGGGAGTCCAGCTCGGGAAGCCGGCGGGGCCGGTGGCGGCCGCGGGCGGGCGGGCGGGCGGGGCGGGGAGCGGGCGGCGGGCGCGGGCGGGCGCCCCGCACTCGGGGGCGGCGCCGGGGACCGCCCTCCTCCGGGCCCCGCGGGGCGGGGACAGCCGCCTGGCCCCTCCCCGCGCCGCCCTCCCCAAAGTTGCGGTCTCCCCCGGGGCCGGACAGTCTTATGATCCAGCGGATCCTCCTGGGGAGGCCGGGTCGGGGCGCGGGCGGCGAGCAGCTGGGGCAGCGGGCGGGCGCGGACACCGGGGCCCGGGCGCGGATCCGGGCAGCGACCGAGGCGGCGGCGGCAGCAGCGCCCCGGGCCCGCCGCCCCCTCCCCTCGGGCGGGGGGAGCCGCTGCATGGGGCCGGGGGGCCGGCCCGGCTGCGCGGAGCGGCGGCGGCGGCGGCCCCCCCAGGCGGGCTGGGGCTGAGCCGGGGGCCGGGGCGGGAGCTCCGGGGGGACCATGCCCGGAGGCCGGCCGGCCGCAGCATGGCTCACGGGCCCGGCGCACTGATGCTCAAGTGCGTGGTGGTGGGCGACGGGGCGGTGGGCAAGACGTGCCTGCTCATGAGCTATGCCAACGACGCCTTCCCGGAGGAGTACGTGCCCACCGTCTTCGACCACTACGCCGGTGAGCCGCGGCGCGCCGCCGGGGGCTGCCCCGGGCCGGGAACTTTGGAGCAACTTTGGCGGAGCCCCCTGGCCGTCTCCCCAAGGCGCTCTCCCCTCCCTCCCTCCCCTCCCCTCCCCCGCCGCGCCCTCCTCTGGGCGCCAGCCCCACCCCCAGGCTTTGCCCCCTGCCACCCCTTTGCGGGCAGATTGGTCCCCTCTTCCTACCCCCGCTCCCCCACCTCCGCGCTCAGGGCCAGCTCCCCGCGCTTCCCAACCCCCTTGGCGTCCTGGACCAACCAACCTCCTTGACCTTCCTACCTCCCCTATTGCCCCAAGCCCCCCGGGAAAGCATAAGGGGGACCGGGGAGGGAGACACGGGGCTCTGGGACTTGGGAGAAGAGGGTAGGCTGTAGAGCTGGGGGGTCCATCGCACCCCCACCCCACTCAGGCCACTTCCTAGTGAGCCGGGCACTAGGGGAAAGGGGTGACATCTCCCTTCCTGCGCCCTCCTGCCTCCAGCTGGGCTGGGAGTGGAAGGTCCCGGTGGGAAGCGAAATTGCCCCAGAGTCTTAAGTAACGGTGAGCTTTTCTCCCCGCCCCCACTTCTGCCCCTGCAGTCAGCGTCACCGTAGGGGGCAAGCAGTACCTCCTGGGACTCTATGACACGGCGGGACAGGTGAGTGTCTTGGCTCCTGGCCTACACACCCCCTTCCCTTTCTAAGATTCAGGGCGCTTGCGAAGGGGCCTTTGGAAACTGTGAGGTGTCTAAGGAGGGAGGGCGTGTCTGCGAAGGGGCTGCCCTGGATCGTCTTTATTTCCTTTTTTTTTTTTTTTCTTCAAGTCAACAAATTAGGAAAAGGAAAAAAAAAAAAAAACCCAACAACAAACCCCACAGACCTGCCCACCCCATGGGAACGCCTGGGCTGTGAAAGTTTTTGCTTTTGTGTGTGTGTGTGTGTGTGTGTGTGTGTGTGTGCCTTCTGTGTAGTGCCTGGTGTGTGGGTCCCAACTCCTGTTGCAAAGTGGCAGCAGCCAATCGCGAAGCGCCCTTATTTTTGGTTGCAGATGCCCAGGTCTCCCCCTCACAGCCTCTGTCTGGTCCCTCATTGGTGAGCGGCCTGCCTGCCCGGAGGCGCCTGATTGGTGGAAAATGGCATCATCTAATATGATGGGAAGGCATTTGGTCCTGGTTATGTTTATTACAACATCACTGCACTCTGGGACTGGAGTCCCTGAAAACATAATTTGTGGTGTTACCAGGGGACCACGGCGGGGGGGGGGGGGGGGGGAGAAAAGAAACAACAACCATTTAGCCACTCCCTGGGGCTGGGCTGGGCTGGAAGGGTTAGGAGTTCAGAGTGAATCTTGGAAGAAGGACTATTTATTTTCCCTAGGAAGGCCAGGTGACTGGCTTTTTTTCTGGCAGCCTCTGATCACTATTTGCAAATTAGAGGTGTCTCCTAAAGGGTTAAGGTCTCCTCTCTCTTCCTCTGTCCCAGCTCCACCCTCTTCCCAGACCCACTATTGCTGTGGGGCCTAGATTGTATGAAGTTTTGCAGAATTCAGGCCTGTGATTAGATATGAGGACTCAAGCAGAAGTTTCCACATGTCGTGCAGACTTGAGATCTTGAGGACATGTGAGCAGGTGGTAGCGAGTGCCTTTGGGGGATGCTGTTATCTGTAAAATGGGGGTTTAGCACCAAGTCTGGCGCATACCAGGTAGGTGCTCAATAAAGGGGAGCTGTTCTTTGTGGCTTTTCTAGTTTTGGATTTCAGAATTGTGGTACCAGGTTAGATTCTGAAAAATGTCTTGTTTGGGGGGGTTCCTTGATGTGACTCTGGTTTCTAAACTGCTAAATTAGAGAAACATCTGAGGGTTGAGAAACTGTTGCAGTGGAAGGTGCCTGAGGCTGCCCCTCCTCTCCCTTTATCCAGACCGACCCAAGTCAGTACAACCGGTTCTTCTGGGCTCCTTTTGGTTGCTTGCTTGGTATTCTTTCCAGCTATCAGAATGTGTGGAGGCCAACTTTTAAGCAGTACACTCTACTTTAAAAATATATATATATTTTTTTTAATTAATTTTTTTACAGAGAGGAAGAGAGAGGGATAGAGAGTTAGAAACATCGGTGAGAGAGAATCATCGATCAACTGCCTCCTGCACACCCCCTACTGGGGATGTGCCCGCAACCCAAGTACATGCCCTTGACCAGAATCGAACCTGGGACTTTTCAGTCTGCAGACCAACGCTCCATCCACTGAGCCAAACCGATTTTAGCAGTACACTCTACTTTTAAACAACAGGTTAAAATTATTGGTTGACAGGAGTCAGGTTTTAAAATATGGCCTCTATTTTTAACTTCTGTCACTACCCCTTCTTTCCTTTTCTCTCTTACTTTTCATCAAGACTTTTTTTTTTTTAACCACAGTCCCTATTCAACAGGACGTGTCTATGTGAGAGCTGTTCTGTGCACATTCAAACCCAATTAATATCTATTGAGTTTCTTCTATATATTAGGCATGGGATGACTACTTGCAAATTCTATCTAATAAAGAGGAAATATGCTAATTGACCATCACCCCCTCACACAATAGTGGCACCGCAGCCAATAAAGAGTAAATATGCTAATTGACTGCCACATCCTCAAAGATGGCAGCACCCACAGCCACAAAATGGCGGCACCTAGTCCCCTCAGTTTCCCTGGGGTAGCAGGCACACGGCATGGCCGTCCCTGTCCCCAGGCAGGTCCAGCTGCTCTGCACACCTGCCTCCATAGTCCCCCAGTCTCCTCAGCCCCAAAGCCACCCATGGCCAGCCAAGGTGCAGGCAAGCCTCAAATGGTGACTGTCTGTCTTCCCAGGCCTGGCCTGAGGTGCAGGAAAGCCTCAGATGATGGTTGCCCAGCTGCTCAGGGCCACCCGAGGCTCAGGTAACCAGGGACAGTTGAGGCTTGTGCTGCCGGCAGTGGAAGCAGCAGAGGTGTGATTTGGGGCATCTCCTTCCCCTGATCTCTGGGTCGCCTCCTGCCCATGAGGGCTCCAGGACTGTGAGAGAGGGCAGGCCGGGCTGAGGGACCACCCCCTCCAGTGCATGAATTTTCATGCACCAGGCTTCTAGTATTATTATATCTTCTTTACAAAACAACCCTATGAGATAGGTGACATTTCATCTTTGCTGATGAGGAAACTGAGACTCAGAGAGATGAGGTTGCTGACCTGAGGTCACAGCTACTGAGAGGTCTTGCTTTGTTTAGGACATGGGTCTGAATCTGTCCTACTTGAGGCAGAAAGCCAGGGAAGTGCCAGGATACCACCTGAGTTGATGGAATTGCTTGTGTGTCTGTAGACATTCTATTTGGAATTTTTTGAAAAAATATTTTTATATTGATTTCAGAGAGGAAGGGTGAGAGAGATATAGAAAAATCAATGAGTGAGAGAGAATTATTGATCATCTGCCCCCTGCACACCCTCTCCCAGAAATTGAGCCCACAACCTAGACATGTGCCCTGACTGGGAATCCAACCATGACTTCTTGGTTCATAAGTCAATGCTCAACCACTGAGCCACACTGTGAAATCACAGCCATTTTCTGAGTGGGGGATGTATGCCACCTTTATAGAGAATAGAGAACCAACCCCTGATCTAAAAGTCACTCATAATTAGGGCCTGCTACAAATTCAGGGCTTTCCATAGCCATCATAATTGCTGTTTCCTATTGCGATTGTCAGATATATACCAAAGTGGGGGGTCAATGAGGTTCAAATATTAATGTTTTTGCCCAGTGTGTGGGACAAGTTGGTGTTTTTCCCAATGTCTGAGACTTTTGCATAAAAGTTAGTGATAATTCATCTTTCAACACCTAAGGGCTTATTCCTACTGTAATATGCAATCTTAGCAAACTAATCACCAGTGAGATTAAATGGCAAGTGCCTACTGTGTACCTAGCACTGTGCTAAGCACTTGGAAGGTCAAAAGAATAAATTTATTAGAAGGATCTGCCATGACTGATGACAGCATAGGGGGAAGTGTCTGGATCAGATGCCTGTTTATGCGTGTTATATAGGAGATTTCAATATTGTATTTGCTCATTAAGACCCATACCTCTATGAATAGATACCAGGTTAATCTTATAGTAACAATGATAAACACGTTCGCGCGCATACACACACACACACACACACACACACACACACACACACACACACACAAACACACACGAGAATCCTTAAGCCTGATGGGCAGTAGAGGAAAGGCCATGGGCTTTGAAACCAAAGGGGGCTCAAGCTCTCCCTTGCTCTACTAGTCATGTGATTCTAGCTAAGTTATTTTCCTTCTTGGTGATCTATCGATAGTAAAGATGTGGATAATTAGACTCTATACTGCAGTGTTTTAGGCCAGCTTATATTGTTTGATGTATGTACATTTCTTCATTCCTAGCGGATGTATAATACTATATTATAATGAATTTTTATATTCCACCCTGGGCAGCTTTGTGGGGGGAAGGGATCACAGGTGGAAGAGGACAGTGTGTTATGCCTGGAGTTGAGAGCAATTCCACTAGGATTCCAGGTCCCTTCCTGTCCTCAGCAGAGATGTGGAGCCAGCTTTGCACTTTACCATTCCCACAGTCCCCATCCGGGACTGACCCATGGCACAGTCCAGTGCCCTCTGCTCTAAGTGCCGTGTTGTGTCATATAGCTTTCTTTCTGAATCAGAGCCTGCATCTTCAGTGAGGTAAAAGAAACTCTTAGAAAAACTAAGAGTTCAGTGTAGAATCTGAGGGGGGAAAAGTGGGTTGTGTAGGTTTCAGTGGATTCTGCT